TGACGGCTATGATGGTGAGAGGCCCTTACTGGATGAGTGAGGAGAGAGAGTAGGGCTTGGGCTCAGATGCTCGTCCATCGAATCAAGTGGATACCATGACTGACAGCTGTGAAGGGCTGATGGGCATGCTATACTGGGATGCGGACAGGCCAGGGGATAAGGGAGGAATTGGTAGTGATGGTTGGGTTAGTTGCCTTTGATGATCATCTTGTTATTGTTCCTTAGTGATCCCCCCACGTGGCCAGATGGGCGACATCACTGCTAGCCGTGCTGGACCTGTAGTGCCAAGGCAGCCCAAGAGGGCGAGTGCTGATGGCGGGTGGAGCACCCCGGCTGGGACCAAGGCCGACGATACTTGGAATACGGCCGACTTCGCCTCGTTGGATACGGCAGCGGCACAAGTCCAGTCCAGCCCGGGGAATCCTTTCGCACAGCAAAGACCTATAACGGCTCCTCCTCCTTCTCCTAGCGCGCAGAGGCCTGTCACACCCACGCCTATGCAGGGGGGTGTGGCGGCTTATAGCACTGCTGCCGCTACATCGTCAGCCATGGCGCGCCACGCTGCCAGTGGAACTCGACAACATCCGGCTCAAGGAGGTTACCAGACTGTTGCCCAGACTCAGCAGCAGCAGCAGGCCAACCCACAGCAGCAGCACCGACAACCCCGGCAGCATCAGCAGCAACCCTATTATGTTTACCAGGGCCCCCCTCCGAACTCGGTGCCGGCATCATTCATAGGAGGTCGTACTCAGCTCCAGCCTGGTGTAGTGCCTCAAAGATACCCCAGTGCTATTCCTCAAGCCCCACAGCCGCAAGGATATCCTCATACCGGTGGATACAATACACCTTATCAGCGTCCGGGAACCGCCGGGGGGCAATACCAACAGGCAGCAGCAGCACAGCATGCTCAGTCCCAGCAGCCAGAGCATCCGGCAGTAGCAGCACAGCGAGGCCAGTACCAGCAACAGCCGGCAGTAGCAGCACAGCGGGGCCAGTACCAGCAACAGCAGCCGCCAGTAGCAGCACAGCGAGGCCAGTACCAGCAACAGCAGCCGGCAGTAGCAGCTCCTCAAGGGCGTCCTGCGCCTCGTACGCCGCCGAGCAATAGTGTGCCGCTCGGTCGCCTGGGGGACTACAGTTCTTCGGCAGCTAGAATGGCATCAGCCGGTGGAACGGTAAGTCACATTCCTCATAAGAGTGGTGTTACTGTGTATTGTGCATCAGGTATATAATGCCCCTCCTTCTCCTCCAGCTGTTGGGACCTCTTACGGACGACCAGTGCAGTATGCGGCAGGCTCACCGCAGCCTCAGCGGGCGCCACAGCTCCCACCTAAGCCTAACGACCCCTTCGCGACTCTGAACCCTTTTGCCAATGGAGGAGGGCTCAGCTAGGGCCGGCAGCAGACCTCTCTGATGAGTTGACTGTTGTTGCTGTCTATGCTAACTGTTCAGATGAGCGTTTGCAGCCTTCCACGGAGAAGTGTAGGTGTGGCAGCTTCTGTTTCATTTTGTTAAACCTTCGATCCTAACTGTTCTTTGCTTTCGCCTTCCTTGTTGTGTTCGAGAGTTTTACGTCTCGCCGGGGGAATGAGAGTGAGCCCAGGTAGTTGTTGAGGAGGATGCTGAAAAAGGCTTTGTCGGACTTCCGCTTCGTGGCGGCACTCTCGGCTGTGATTCATATATGCCTTATTGCATACGGTCATTGGCAAGATACGCATCGTAAGGTCTCCACTCGGCTTTGTCGTGAGCATGCGCTCTTGTTAGTCCGAGTCAAGTACACGGACATAGACTACATGGTATACACTGATGCGGCTAGAGCTGTGTATAGAGGAGGCAGCCCTTTCGAGCGGCACACATATCGCTATACGCCGCTACTGTGAGAACGTCATTGCCTGCAACAGCTTACATAG